ATTTGATATCTAATAAATATTAATTTTTAAAAGGGTTGCTTATTTAACTTTGTTAAGACTTTGGAACCTAAAGAGGGAGGGTTGCTTATTTTCAGGAGTTGCTTATTTTCGGGACTTTACGGTATGTAAAAGATTGAAAATGTATAAAAGAAAAGTCTCTTGTCGCTAGAAACTCTCATGCTCTAATCCTTTTATCTAATAAATAATAAAGTTCTTACTAGTAATATTTTACTTGTAAATATACTATTATTTTCGTGAATTATCTTCAAATCTTAAAATTACAAGTAGTGAATGCTTCTTTACTCTAAATAAGCTGTTGATATTATTACTTTTGTTTTATTATTTTTAGGCAGTTTCAATAAGTTCTATTTGATTATTTTTAGTTATTTTTATTTATATTTTATAATTGATACTCTTAATAAGTTCAATTGTTATTTTATTTCATTAGATATCTTCAATAAGTTCTGTTATTCACTTTGAAATTATTTGTTAATTCTTTTAATTCTTTTTATTTTTTCACTTTATTTTTCTATTCATTTTTACTCTTTATTAATAATATTTAGTTAGTTTGCATACAAGTTACCACAGGAGATTTTTAGAATCTTTAGTGAATTTCATTAATTGTAATTCATATAGTCTTTGTCCTTTCACTGTTATATTACTTTGTTAATTATTAATTTTAACAATTTTTGAATTAATGAGAACAATACAAATTTATAATAGTTATTATAGATTATTATATCAAATAATCAGAAGCAAGAGCAATATTCAACAATACAGCTGAATTAATAAGTTCATTTTTATATAAAGATATATTTTTTTGACATGAATTTTCAAAAAAATAATATCAGATAGAGGTACAATATTTGCTAATGAGTTAATTAAAAAATTATGCGACAAATATCAAATTAAACATTATTTTTCAACTTCATATTATCCACAAATCAATAAATTAATAGAAAAATTGAATAAAATATTATATAATTCAATTAGAAAATTAGTTTAACTATATAAAAAAGAATGGAATGAATACCTTCTATCAGTACTTTTTGCTTATAAAATAATACAACAAAATTCAACAAAGTTTATTTCATTTTACCTTACTCATAGAAAACAAGCAATTATATCATTAAATCTTAAACTATTACTATTTGAAAGTAAAGATCAAATAACTTCAAATAAAATAATTAAATGAGCTTGTACTATAATAGATAAACTTGAATTAGACTGAACAATAACTCAACAAAATGTAGAAAAGCACAACAAAAACTTACCAGCAAGATAATCAACCACAATTTAGAGAAAAAATTCTAATAAAGAGAATGGAAATGCAATATTGGCACCATGAAAAATTTGCTCAAAAATGGAAAGGATCATTTTATATTTATCAAGCTCTTAATAAAGATGCATATTGACTCAGAATAATGAATAGAAAAGTTCTCAAAAATTCATATAATAAAGATTATTTAAAGTATTATATTGAAAATAATAGTTTGGAACTCATAATTATAATTCAAGATTAATTAATAACTAACTGAAAGTTAATAAATTAAGCTAATAGAATTGATTAAACTTTATGTTGTCACAATTAGGCTCCTGATAGGTATTATTATAACGTAAATGTTCAACCAACATCTGATAATGATAATTTTACAGTTACTCAATCTCTTCATAATGGATATACTTCAAAATTATCACGTAGTGCATTTTCTTCTATCTGTTGGATAGACTCTCACTATTACTAATAGATGTTATATCTACTTAGTGTGGGACAGTCCTATAGCAATACAGTACTAATATTCTATAGTAACTTTGATAATTATTTAATAGTACACAATAAATGCAAATATTTTAATAAGTTATTATTTAATCAATTAATGTACAAATTTTATTAACAATAAACAAGAACAATTTATTGACTAGCTAGATTTTGTATTAATCAATTGATACCTTTTTTTAAAACTTCAATTATACTTTTATTTATATTAAATATTTTCTATTAACTAATATTATATTTTTAACTTATTTATCAAAAACTATAAAATTAACAAATATTAAATAATTCAAATAATTCATATATAAAACATATATAAATTATAAAGAATATAGAAATTATAAAGAATATAAAAATTATAATAATTTAATAGAAATTATGTAATTACAGAATTTATAGAAATTATAAGAATTTCTAATTGTAACACCAGTATTTTGGAAAAACTTTGATAGCTATCATATTTATTTTCGTTAAATTTCTTATTAAAGTTATGTTCAATTCTATTATTTTAATATTTGATATTTAAATTATAAATTTTGATAGTTTAGTAATCTGACCTTTCAATTAAATACAGTCACTCACCATATTTCAGAAATATCATTATAGACAATAATTCTGAAAATGATAATAATATAAATAACTTAAATTCTATAAAAATAATAATAATATATTATTATTACTATTCTAAACTTATTATAATTATGATTTAATAATTGAAATATTATATATTTGATTATATTATCTATACTTTTCCATCTGTCATTATTAATATATATTATTATAATTATTTTAGTTAAATAATCTATTATAATATTATTAAACTCTCTTTCATATAACTTTATAAATTCCTAAAATAATAATAATATTCTAGTTATAATAAAAAAAAGTATTAATTATATAATAATAATTAAAATTATTAAAATTAAAATATTCAATTTATATTAAAAATCAAGTATTAGAATTTGAATTAGAATTTAATAAAGATTATATAAAATTATCTTTCTAATATTTTTAAATAGTGCTTCAAGCTAAATTTAGATATCTGTTTTCTATATTTTTTGCATTTTTATTTTCTTGTATCAGATTTATTTTGTTAGAACTGATCAAAAATTTGTTATATTTCTATTGGTTATACATATTTTTGCACATTCTTATTTGTCGAATATGATTATTATCACATAATTAACATTTTTTTTCGTCGTAACTAGAATACTATTCACATAATAGTATTCTAGTCAGGCGAAAAATGTATAGTGCACGTGATAATAAACCAATACAACCAATAAGAATGCACAAAAATTATGCGCAACCAATAGGAATGTAGCAAATTTTTGATCAATTCGACAAAACAAATTCGATACAAGAAAATGAGAAAAGATAAAAAATGCGAAAAATACAAAAAACAGATGTCTAAATCTAGCTTGGCGCACTATCAAAAAATGTCGGAAAGACAATTCTATATATAATTTTGATCTCAGCTCTAATACTTGATATCTAATATTAATCGGATATTTTAATGGACTTATTTAAGATCACGTGCACCGTACATTTTTTCGCCCTAAAACAAGTGACGTCACCAATTTCATCCAATCGGAGATGGGATCTCCCGTGACCAATAGAAACTTCGGGTGAAAATTAGTAAATGCATTAGCGTTAGTTATCCGGACAATTGATTTACATCAGCCAATCATATGAAAGTCTGTCTATGATATGATAGGTACATAGCATCCCAAATATATTGATCGATCATTACTGAATAAAGTCTCGATATAGTGAAGTTATGTGTGCCCAATTCCTATATTTTGGATTTTCATAATATAATGAAGAAAGAAGACACACCAAACATTGCCAAACTTCGTTCATACCTCAATCTCAAAGCACGAATTTCCGTATCAGACGATCGAGTGTTTAATGGGACGTTTGTGTGTATAGATAAATATAAAAACATAATCTTGGCAAATACAGAAGAATTTCGTGGTGGTAATTTGTTTTCTATCGTCAAATACCATTAATCAGTTAATATTGAAGATGATTATTATAATTTGATTGAACTTTTTTCCGCATGAATAGTTGAAAAAAGATATGTTGGTCTTGTCATGGTGCCCGGTAAACATTTGATAAAAGCAGAAATTGAGAATCTCGAAGTTCCCAAGAAGAATATTAGTGAGGCTGATAATGTAACAACGTTTGCTTCTGTTATGTGAATCCAAAATTATATATCGTTCATTTCTTTATCCAGGGAATAAATCGATTATTTCTATTTAAAGATATACATATGAAAAACTACCTATTTTCAATCAATGAATGAACTAGTAGTAATGAAAGTCACACAAAATTAAAGAATAATGAGATGATTAATATGAAAAATCGTCTGAATTTCGTATTTCTTGTTTGATTCTCAATTTGAGTATTATCAATTATTGACGAAGAACAAGAGACTGGCATCATTTTTTGAAATAAAAAAATAATTATTTTTTTTAATTCATTCATTTTACAAGAATACAAAAAAAATAATAACAAAAACTCACCCGTTATAGTTGATGTTCAACTTTTATCCTATTCACACAATATATTGTTATGTTATTGCTATTGGATTCTTGCTGTTCGACAGAAATCAAGTCTTTTTATACTATGATAATTTTGACCCTGATTTTTATTTAAAAAATATTATTATTCAAGAGAATAAATAAAAGCGACTTTTCTATATCTGCAAAAGATTACCTTCAAGGCGAACATTCCTCGTTGCAGATGGAATAGTAACAGTTATCCCATCCAACTCTGGTTTCATAACAATTTGACATCCCAATCGCGATCTAATACCAAAAAATAGCATTAAATAGACACATATTATCTATCCTAATTCGAAACAAGATTCACGGAAATCATTATAATTAATTACTCACGTCTCAGTCAACCCAAACGCAAGATCCAACATATCATTTTCTTCATCCGTCGGTTCCTCCAATTTCTCATAATACTTTGGATCTACAATTACATGACACGTCGAACACGCCAATGACCCCTCACACGCGCCTATTTATTCAATTTCTTTCTTTAATCAGTAAAACACGGGGTGATGAAGGTGACTTTGAGTTCAAAAAAAAGACAAATAAAGAATAGGGATTCATCGTTAAGGTTATTGCTACTATACTAAATATAATTATGCTACAAACATTCGAGATCTATGTCGTGTGCCATCGTAATATCCATTATACTGTCGCCTTCATTGGCTTGTATTGTGTGGTTGTCACCTTCACGGGTGATTATGTTGATTTTGAAACTAAATAATTAATATTAATTTTTTCTAGTTATCATAAATTAGCACCACCAAAGATATTGCTGATAACATTACTTACCCTTCACCCTCTTTTAACGGTGTGATTTCTTTATGTTTATTTACTAAATGAAAAAGATTGAGGTTAAACATTATAACAGGTTAAAGTATGTCGTACCGAAAAATGCGAAAGTTGAAAAAGTACCTGCAGTACAAGAGAAAAACTGGCTCTGAATTATACTTCTTTGTGGAGAAACCAAAAAATTAGCTGGAATCCTACAAGATATTGATCTCGAAGGAACAATATTTCTATAAATAATTGGTGTTGATTTTTGTGAATTTCTGATCAAAGGTCTCTTTGTCGCGTAAGTTAAGAGTTGTTTAAGCGAAAGCATTGAAGAGAAGTATAACGATAAGAATTGGAGAAAAAAATTTAAGATTATCAACATCCAGGGATTTACGTAATGCATGCACGCATAAGATAAATAACGTTTGTTTCACTAAAAGTAGAACTCGTAATGGAAATCTTTGACCAACGTACGCTCATTTTGCTTGATTGTCACCCTGATACACGTACAGTAGTCTTGAGTGGGTCTGAAGATAATGGTTAGTCATACTTGATTCAAGTTTTCTCGACTTTTTGATCTAGTTAAGGGTTAAGGTGCTTGTCTGTATGAGAACGAATCACATTCAAAATTCCATGCATGTAAGGGTATTTCCATTGGTAATTTTACTCATCAATTGAATAGATAAAGCCAATTGCTCGATATGGAGCTGTTTCGTGGAAGCTACACTAGAATATTGCCGAATTACGTTCGATCTATCTGAGATCAACACAAGTCAAACATTGGTATCTGTACATGTTGCTGGTTTACCAGAAGGACGAAACGTGCTTAACAAATGGGATGAACAAAATTTGAACCAGGTTTGATTTTTCGCTGATAGGTTGAGATTGCCCATTCTTGTAGTAACAATATTTCATTAAGGTGTAATTAATTAACTTTGCAGTCTTTTAATGAATAACCACAGATAGCAAATAGTTTTTCGTACATATCACCACAATCGGTCGCAGTCTCTCCGCTGCGAATACCAATAGCCTTAGAGAATGCGTTGATAGCTTTAGAAAAATCTAATTCGAAAAATCGTAAAGTTGTACGATTTGTAATAATAATAATGGGGAAAGGGAGTAACGAAACGGGGTTCAAGTAAGTAATTATTCTTAACCATATCTGGATAAAATACATAAAGTATGGAGATTCAAAAGTATATAATTATAATTTTAGTTATCATGAAACCCGCGAGCAAAAGATCCCAAAGGATCTTCGACAAATGATCCTAAATACAATTGAAAAATTAGAACGGGAGCAATCAAAGTCATTTAACAGGTTTTTATTTGATCTTTTGATGATTTTTTATATTTTTATGATGAAGCTCTAATTATCAGTTGAAATTCCTATTAAGGTTATCATTTATTTTTATATTATTAGAATATCCGTTGGTTGATCGAGTCCCTTTGATTCTTTCGAGAATGTGAATTTTATTATTAAAAATATCATTTATCTCCAGCATTATCGAGCACTGCCATTTTGATATTCTACGAGCAATCCCTCCACATGGAAATATGATTGATGATATTCCCAGAACAATGGTATTTATTCATTGAATTCATTTACATCAAAACAAAAAAAATTAATTTGTTTTATCTAAATTCAATAGTTATCAGATAAAGTCTCAATTTCCGTATATAACATATCAACAATGCGTAACTCGTTAACTCGTGCCATGATCCATCTAGCTCAAATTCATCGAAGATTAAATTGTTTGTATTTGTATGGAATCCCGATGAAAGTATGTGTTAACAATAATAATAATGATCTCCATCTAAATGATTCTTTTTTTTAATCAAATAAAACAACCAGATTGTATACATCTTATTAATGAATAACTTTTCTGTATTCTATAGAAAACTTCCCAAAACATGAAATTGACATGTGAAGTCGAAATACTGTATCCCGCTGGCCGTCATTTAATCTTCAATAATAATAGTAATAGATCCGAAGAGTTAAAAAAGAAACGTATTTTCGAGCGAGGATATTTGATTGATCGTCAGACTAACGTTAAATGGTGTAAGAGAAAAGGACATGAATTAGGTAACTTGTTTATTTTTTGTGAATCGTTATGTTATGTTTCCTATTGACCCTTCTGTCTCTCTTTCCCTTATAAAAATGCAATCAGATTCACTAGTAACGAGATGTATGCATCCTATCACCACGCTAGATGTGAGTTTTTTATTTTCAAATTTGTGATGCTTCTTTTATTATATTGTTTTGCTAATGATCATTTTGATATATATCCATCAGTCCAGCCATTCACCATCCTCTGTGCTAATTCAAAGCCTGCTAAGTGGTAAATCATTTTCTCTCTTTAGAAGACGTTATTCTTACAATTTAATTTGTAATTATACATATATATGTATAAAGGATCGATAAAACTATTTACGACGTATTCAACACCATTCGGTCACGACCCTACGGCTGGTGAAGAATATTTATTTCCTTTAACACACATGTTATCGTGTCTTGATGGTATTTTATCACACATTTTCGCGATACCCAATTTTTTATGCGATCAAGTTTTTTTATTAGTATCATAATTTCTTTTTACAAAAGGAACATTGTACCTTCATTGTCTGTCACATTCCAATGAGGGAAATACTTTTAAAAACCACTTGTTAAATAAAACTATTCCGCGAGAACTTCAATCAGTCGTTGTGACTTCAAAAGATTATCCAGAAGCGATACTTAAGGTTCGTGCTTATGCGTGCGTGCGTGTGTGTGTGTGCATATATACATACACGCTACTTTGGTTTTTAGGCTACATTATGATCATTTTTTTACAATCTTTGATTTCTTTGGTTTGGACGCATAATAAATAGGAATTTGATCGAGAATTTATCCACCCCCATATTCTAAATTTCGGATATAATCAAGATATCAGCACTTTTCCTGTTCCTGGTAATGGTAATAATCAATTTGAGAAGATCGAAATGGCATCGACATTATCACTATCATCATCGTTAAAAAATGTGCAAAGTTCGTATGCGTGGAATTGGGAATCGAGATGGTGGAAAAGTCTACTAACAAAAAGTGGCGATAATGGAATGTTATTGTTGAATGTGATGTTAAAAGAATCGTCGTCGTCGAACGTGAAGTCAAAAAGGTCGGCTGTGGTGAGTCTCGCTTTCGTCATGTTCATCGCCTACTAAATTCTTTTATACAATTGATTAATTACTATTTGGCATTCAAAAATAATTTTATAGAAAGAGGAGACCGACATGTCGAAAAATTTAAAAAATCTGAAAAATTTAATCTGTACACCAGATCCAGTTGATAATTTTGCCGAGATTATGAATAAAGTAAATTTGACGCGAAATTATGTTGGAATCAAGCAAATAGACGATTTTTTTTAAAAGTTAATATTTCCATTACATACCACAGATTTTAGATAATCTTTTTGCGATGAGGAGAGGCGTAGGAGCAGGCGACTTTCAAAAGTAATTATTTTTTTTTTAAGAAAAAGGATAAATCAAGATGTTTATGCATTATTATTTAATCATTGAATCACTCGCTGTAATTTTTTGCAGTCAAAAGATGGCTAATATTCTATTGATGCAAATACGGACTATCGGCAATACATTCAAATCTGCTTCGACCAGGCATCAAGAGGTTTATTATTTAATGGTTATTGTGTTTTTTAATTGTTATTGAAATTTTAAATCATTAACCACCAAATTGCTTGAATCAATTCAGATTAGCAAAATTATACATTCTCGTGTAAAAGCTGATGGCACCGAGAATAAACAACAGCAGATACAGCCCCAAGTTCCTCAAACACCAACTACACCGCTTCCATCATCTTCATCTTCAACAAGTTTTGGATCTAGATCATCAACAAGCGCATCTAATTTAGAATCAGAAGTTTCGCTAAGCTGGCAACAACTTGACCAGTACAAAAATATGACTGTACGAGAACATCAAGATTTCACGGATGCTGTTTCTTCTTCAAGTCAAAGTTACACAAGTACGAGTCAACCACCACCACCACCACCCCAAACTCCTACTAGTAGTGGACGATTCAACAAACTCGGTTATCACCCTGATTACTTTTTCCATAAACCGCGTGGAAGCGGAGCAGTGAATACTCAAGTAACTAGTGGTGGTGGTGGTAATCGACGTGGTCATCAAGGAAAATCCGGCGGGATCTCTGCGGTTTATACACCCAACGAAGAACTACAACAATCATCAACCACCTCCCGAGTCATTCCTACACCGTATCTTGCTTACGATCAAGTAACGCAAAGAGATGTTGCGTTAGAGCGGGAAAAATATAAAAATCGGTTGGGCGATGAAAGTTGCTTGTTTCATCAGTATTGGACATTTAAAAAATCTTATAATAACAATGATGACGATGATGGTAACGGTAATGGCAATGATCAAGAAATTTCTAAGCGTCGAATTTTTGCTGCTCGGATGCCAGAAAATTCTTTGTGAATCAGCGAGTTAATTTCGGGTGTATTTATTGTAACTGTAACTGTAACGTAACCTCATCCTCTACTTTCGGCTTATTTCGGCTAGAAAGTATGGTCATTTTGATTATGAGATTTCGATGATCTCATTATCAATATTATCATCTTCATTGTTAGACAAACAAATTTTTCGTTGATCAAAAAACACCGAAAAAAGCCACTTTACTATATCTGATTAAAGAAAATCACCCGAGTTTATTATCTTAGAAAAATACAATTTTTTACTGCGCCATCTGAGAAACTATGCTACAACACTGCATAGTACCTAGTCACACGAAAAAAACACGCATAAACATATACAACAATAAAACTTTAAAATTTCTTTTGCTTCATTTCCAAAGGTAGAATTAATTTACGTTAGATTTTCACAGAGAAAGACAGATAGATAAGCATTCAGCATTATTTACCTGCAAAAAAAAAAAAAGGTGTAATGTCTGCGAATAAACTGGAAATTTATTGGATGCATACATATAAATCCCAAAAAGGTTGCGTGTTCCATATCTACACACACATATATATATATATATATTTTTTGAGACGATAGAAGGGATTCGCGTGCTTAATATTGTTGAATTAATTAATTTTATGCAATTTTATTTTTTTTTGACTTGACTGACTAAGAAAAATTCAACATTTTTATTGATGTAACTCCCACGAGTTTGGTATTTGTGTGACCGAGACACCACCGAATATGCATGCAAGTATATGCACGAGTATTTTCTCTTTGTCTAGAAATCGCCACTGCCAAAATTTAAGTAATAGTTAACTATCGCTATGTATAAAAAACTAAAATCTTTTTGAACGTTATTGACACAAATAATTTGTCACTTTTAGGTAAGCGGGTGAGCAAGTGGGTGAGTACGAGCAAGTGGGTGAGTACGAGTAAGTGGGTGAGTAAGATGTGTACCTACCCCAAATAAGAAATTCAATAAACCCCCAATTACGGTTAATAAGCGATACTGTAGCACTACTCCGCATTTTTAATTTCGGGTCTTTTTATATTCGCCAATGGCGTTCGTATTTTTTTATTATTATTACTATTATTACTATTATAGATACGTCAATCCGGGAATTTTTTAATCCCTCTTTTTTCTTATTTATTGACACATACATCCTTTTATCCACCTATTCTATCATCATCCACTCTAACACACCCTTTGGCTAGAACAAGATTTTTCTTTGACAAAAAAAGTTGAGCATATATGTATGTATGTATGTATGTACACATCATTATTATGTATAGCTGAGAGTTAGACTTTATCTTCTTTTTTTTTTGTTTGTCGCTCGCTTCTTTGATGATACTTACTTTTGACTCTTTTTCGTACTTATGATTCTTTTTTTCTTATCGTTATTTTTTCTTTCTATATATTCTATGATTTACATTCTTTATCGTTATCGCATAAATCACCATCACGTTGGCCCGTGTTTCTTTGTATTGATTGAATGAATGTATGTATCTATGTGCACATTTTACAAAAAGTTTCGTGATAGAATTTCTGTCAACTCCACTCGACCCAATTGGCACATGTAATTTAGTCAATTGCCGTTGATTATGATACTATTCGTTGTTTTTTCTTGTTATCGGTCTTGTTCATGAGGTGATGACCGTTTGCCTAGTCTTTCTATTTCTAATCTGCCTATCATAATAATGTATCGGTATCTGCAGTATTTTTAGTTGGTTAGTACTGCGCATGATTCTTTATTCCTTGGAAAAAAAAGCGATTTCTTTTTTTTACCTAATTGATTTATAATAATGGATATTAATTTAAACAATAACTCGATACATCTACAGTATATGTGAATACATGAATATATTATATAAAATACATGTTTGTTTGTTTGTTAGTGAAATTAATTCCAAACAATGTTTTTTGGGGGAGAAGTAGTTTTTGTGTAATGGGTGAAAGGGCCCGACCAGACAAGGAGTCTATTCCCCGACTGAGCGATTCTTTTTCAAAATAAGAATCTGCACTCAAATAGATAGACTTCACTCATCATCATCATCATCATCATTATCATCATCAACATCATCATCATCATCCATTCATCATCTCTACCATACACAATCAATGAACAAGTCAAAATTTAAGATTTCATTCACGAGTGTGTATATGTTTCTCTCAAATCTTGCTCCCCCTTCTCGATATAAATTTAAAATTTGTGTTTAATTACACTCGTTGATGTTTATTTTCATTCTCCTTTGACTCCTTAATTTTTATATACTGGCACTAATTAACTTCACTCCAATAACTCGAGACATACACACACGCGCACGTGTATCACAATCACAAAAAAAATTATAAATAAATAATGGGCGACAAGTCAATAATTTTCAAAACTTGAAATTACTGATCTTTCCCAAATACAAATTTCCTGTTTTATCACCACTGCACGATACGGACCGACGGACGTTCGGGATATATCTATATAAATAGAAGGTGCATTAGATGAAACGATTCGTTTTCCCAATATCAAACCTCTAATGCATATATGTGTGTGTGTGTGTGTGTGGATGTGTGAGAGAAAGAAAAAGCGATCAAAGAAATTTTTGGTTGGTTGATTGAAATTTTCAGGTTTGTGAGCACGACGACGATGATGATGAAAATGAGTATGATCATTATGTTGATATTCATGTTCAACACGGCCTCAAACAACCTGACGGCCGTCATTTTTTTGCTGCATGTAAATTCCAGAAAACTATGTAATTTTAATTGTAACACTCAGATACCTAATTAAAAATAACATGTTTACTATTATTATTATTGTTATTACGGGTAACAACAGGGTATGTAATAATTCAGCACGTACATGTATGTACATCTACATGTCGAGTAATAAGAGGGAATGTGATGCTTTTTTCTACCCTTTTTTCCTTTTTGATCTTGATTTGCTTTGCTTTTGCTTGTCAAATAAACAAGGTTATTTACGGTGACTTTTTATTTAGACGCTGGGTATCCACCAACCTAGTCGGTTGTATGGCTGCGTGCGTCTCATGATAATTTTGATGTTTTAGGCAAAACTGTCATCGATCGGTTGATCATTTATTCATTTTATGTAAAGATTAGAATCAAAAACTTGCTGCAACAAGAAAATGTACGTACAACCATTCCTTATACACGTTAAAAACCGTTATCACAAACACATATGTGCAACTTCTTACAAATTACGTTACTTTTTTGATTTTTAATTTTAATGCTGATATAAATAGATGAGATGATGATGATGATGGTGGTAGTGGTATGGGTTGTAAATATTATAATAAAAGAGTTACTATAAATCTAATTTAGTTTAATCTAATCCGAAAACTATAAAAGCGTATCTCACTCAAAACCACTTCTTTTTTTTCCTTTCGCCTTTATTGATTAAAAATATTAATAAATAAATATATAAATAAATATATATTTAACTACGTTAGCCCCCCATTTTTTAAAATAAGTATATATAAGTATATATATAAGTATATATATATCTATATATATAAACCACATCAAAAGTAATCGTTTCCTCATTTCTTTTTATTTTTTTCCGCTTATATAAATATATAATATATAAGATAGGATATATAAAAAATATATTACGTATACAGATACTATTTTCATCAAATTCCTCCACCCGTTTTCCTCTTCAGACATGTCGGTAACTCTACCAAGCCGACCCAGTTTACCATCACAATTACAACAACCATTACAACCATTAACACAGTCATCTTTAGAACAGTTTAACTCGAGAAATATGTCAGAGTATACTGCCAGACAAATGCAGTTGTATGCTGAAAGACCTCAGGTCGCGAGTACCTTAACTCAAATGAGTCCTTCAAACATTAGCAACCACAACTCGCCCGTGAATAGCAATAATATTGTTTCTTCACCAGCTCTATCTTCTGTATCACTAGGAAGTTTCGATGCTGATTGCCTTGGACAACAACATTTAGAACAATCACAGCAGCAGCCACAACATGCTATCAAAGTTGACCAACAACTAAACAGCAGCGGTAATAACACCGCCAATAATCATCATCAATCACCAGCAGCGAATGTTAGTCCTAATGGTGGTGGTGGTAATGGTGGTCCACTTCCACATTTTGAATATGTCTCGTATGATAGAGTGCAAGTTCTCTACGAGCAAAAAAAGGGCACTTTATATTTTATCCCAGAAGGATTTGAACCTGTTCTAGTTCCGAATGACGCGCAAGCGCAATCGGTGACAAACTTGTTGCAATCTTCGAAACAAGTTTCTGCGCCGTTAAATGTGTCGCGAATGCTTCCTGATACTGATGTGCGTTTGCCATCATTAGCGCTTCCGTGTGGTGTAGCTGGTCCGCAAGCAAAACCAAATACCAACAACGGAAAGTCAAAGGTAAAGAAGCCACCAAGACCACCAAATGCGTTCATATTATATCGCCGTGCTAAACAACCCGCGATTGTGGCAAAAAATCAAGGGATCACAAATAATGAAGTGTCCAAAGAAATCGGTAGAATGTGGCATGAAGAACCGATTGAAGTGCGATTGAAGTTCCAAAAGATGGCCGAAGCCGCGAAACAGGAGCATATGAAAAAATATCCTGAGTATCGTTATCGACCACGTCGACCTCAAGATAGAAAACGAAGAATCCAACCACGTGATTCTCCCGCAAGAAGAGGATCTTCTCCAGTTCTTCCATCGGAGAAATTACCGATTTTGGATAATTCGGCGTTCGTGTCTTCTTCGTCGTCGCCAAATCCACGACGTGTCTCGTCGATATCCTCGAACGATTGTGATAACAATTCAGAAATTTATATGTCAAGTCCTACAATGGCACAAAATGTCATTCAACAACAGCAACCAGCCCAACAGAATCATCTACAACAGCAACTCATGTATGCTAATAATAGTTCGGTTGTTAGATCTCCGCAAGAATCATTCGGACTACTCGACGGTGCTACTCAGTTCAATTACGCATACATGAATAATTTACAAAATTCATATGACAACTCATCTGTTGCTGCCGCCGCTGCATCGATGGTGGGCAATTCGATACCACAAGGAATGATTGATTACAACATGTTCGACGGACATCAACTACCTTCTGATGATTGTATCGAGTATCCCGACTTCGAGGATTACCATGAATACGACATGAACTGCCTTAATTACATGAATGAAGAATATTACCGAAATAATGGACAATTTATTAAACTTGACTATTCTGAATAAGGTATTATTTTCTTTCTTGTTCGATTACGCTTCGCTATTATTTTATTGCTAAATCATTCAACTAATTTTTTTTTTGTTTATTATTATCATTATTATTATTGTAGATGAAAATCGAATTTACTGTATAATGACATCTTAGATATATATATATGATATCTTAAATATTTTCTTACACATTTACTTCTTTCTTTTCGATCGTTCGTTCGTGTTCTGTTCAAACAAAAAAAAAATTATTCTTTATATATCACAATTTAATCTAACTATGCCTTAATCACACCATAAGAGGAACGAACCCTATAATTAATTTAGTAATTTTGTTCATTTCCATTTGCATTCTCCTTAACAATAATTTATACTACTGCATTAATTTAAATTTCAATTCACATAATCATTGCCACCACAAAAACACTTAAGGAACAATCATCATCATCATCATCATCATCATGCATTTTACATTCACATTTTTCATTATTCATCATCTTCTTGGGAGAGTTCGTTTCGGAAAGGAACCAAACTATCTAAAAACATTAACAACTATCGAAAATCACAAAAAAATCTGAAAAATTTCAACAAAAAAAACTTTTGAGCTCTTTACACAGCTCCTTCGTATTTTCACTTCGTTAACTTTATTTCCGTACCAATTTTGGTATTTAATTATATCACGAGATATTTGTTTTGAAGATTCTTACTTTGTTCTGTTCGTAATTCAAAATGTTCGATCTGTTTTTTATTTGTGCCATTTTTTCCAAAACATGAGCCGCGCTCTGTTTCAGGTTCCCTTTTTTATATTAACATTATTCGCCTATTCTGTTCTATTATGAATAATAATCATCATAATCACAATTTTACTACGCTTTAAAATAATTCCTTTAATAACGTCGCCGATTTACATTATTTCTAATAATAGTAATTACTAATCCCCCTCTTTGTTTGCTAATAATAAAGAAAGTTTTTTCATATATCTCTATGCTAACAACATTCTACTTCGCATATTTACATAATCATCATATATCATATATCATTATAATTAGGTCTTCGTGGTTTCGATAACATCCAGCATTTATTCTTATATATATAAATATATATATAGATTGTAAATTTTCACATGCATAGCTAATATCTCTCTTCACATGCATTTTTTTGATTCGTGTCTCCCTCTCTCTTCTTATATATATATTTTCTTAAATATTCCCATACCCCATTTTCCTTTTCCCCTTAGCGCATCATTTTCTTCAATGTACAGTTTAATCATTTTTTCATGCATTCTTCAGTCCACAACCGGAATCAGACCTAATAATAACATTAACATTAACATTTTTATTATCTAGTAGTTTCATATTTTTTCAAAATAGTTCCTCGCATAAAAAAATGTCAAAAGTTCATCTGAAAAAATAACTAACAAAAAAAAATGATTCCAAAAGTAATTAAATATATACATTTTGAAATGCTTGTCGTTGTCGATCTCGATAATGACAAGACGGAAAGAATAATCTTTTTTTTAATGTTTAAAACTCTATTTGGATTAGTGCATATGCTCGTATTTTCTTGATATTTTTATCTTGATTCAGCCAAATAACTTGGTGTGGGGAATGTGACATTTTTTTAAGCACACTTGATTTGTGTATGCGTTTCATTTCGGTGTTTCTTTTTCGGATCAGGTGAGGAATTGATAATCACGAGACACCTTGCATTTACCGAAACTCATTTAGAAAAAAACATCATTCACCTTTTTCTTAATCCCTACTTTGCAAACTATCGTTTTATATTATTTTTATAAAAATGTCAAACGTTCCACAGAATATGCGACAACTTCGCGCATGTTTGATCTGTTGTATGGTCAAAGTAGGTATCATGCATTTTTAGGGGACTGGGATTTCTGTTTTCTTGGTCAACATAACCCCGATTGACTTCTGTTCCTAAACTAATACCAATAAACAAACTAAATTCATATTGTTTAACGTGAAAAAAACATAACAAAGAACTATGATCAATTCCGACGACAAGGTTGCGACAACTGTGAAGATTTCTTGCGATTAAAGGGGGATCCCGCTAGGATTTATGATTGTACGACTTCTAGTTTTGATGGGTAAGTGAGTAACTAAATTAGCAATAGGATTTCTTTTTTTTGGGGGGAGGGATACTAAGTATTATAAATCTTGCTATCCTAAGATTAATGGCGAATATGCGACCTGAACAATCATGGGTCGCGAAATATAAGGGACTACGTGAGTATTGTTATTATTTACCTTTTGTTTGATCTTTATTTACATATGCTAGAATTACTATTGTTGTTGTTATGATTGTTATAGATGAATATGTAAAAGGCGTTTACGCAGTAAATGTTACTGGTCGACTTTCAGATGAAATAGCGGATGAATTGGAGTCACAGGGTATACGTGTCATATCGCGCGAATAATATCTTTTTAGGTATGCTGGTGGATCGGACAATCATATATTTTCTGTAACATAGTGATAATAGAAAGTACTATTTATTGGTCGGTGATAGAAAGAATAATATAGCTAGAAATATTGTGTAAAGGGCTTTTGATTGATTCACATTTGTATGACAAATACATCATGAATATTTGAAAATTTTCAAGTAAATAAATTGGAAATTTTAATCTAGTTTTCAGCTACGGCCATACACAATGAAAAGCACCGGAACCCGTCTGATCTCCGAAGTTAAGCCATTGATGGCCCTATCAGTACTGCGGTGGGGGACCACGCGGGAATACAGGGTGTCGTAGTTTTATATTATTACTCAAATCAACGATTTAGGTAAGATACACTCACTCACTCACTAATTTTAATATAAAAATAAATATTACTAAAAATGATCAGAAAATATAAGTATAAATTATAAAAATTATTGATTTTCTTCAAAAATATAATAAAATGTATTCTTTAGAAATAGATAACAAAATATATTGGTTAATAAATTAAAATTATTCAAAAAATCAATGTAAACTAACAAATTATTAATATATAAACGGGCGACGGGATTCTATGAAGATCATAATAGTACTATATAAGCAATTCTAACCCTATACTGTATGAGATGACGGAGATAACGAGCTTCAGGAAATTGAAATCAACTAATGATAAAAGACTTGATGAAACACAGAAGAAATAACTACTAGAGGAAAAACTAATATGTAAAACGAGAACACGTGTGAACAATAATGTTTTCAATTCAGAATAATTTCCTTATTGACATTTATTATTATCGTTATCGCATATTATCGATAGTTTTGAAAATAACGATCACATGGTATGGCCCATACTTGATCACCTGCAAAAACTGAAAATAACCTCATAAAAGTATAATGTCTGAATTTCGAAATTTAGTACAGAAATTCTCATACCATCAAAACCTAAAACTGGATGATGATAAAGACAACATTGAACACCAAGGCAAACAAACCGGTCGAAATACCGTCAACATGACTACAAAAGCCTCTGCTGCCACCACTTTAATAAAGAGATCAAGTTCTCATAGCACAAAAACGCTACAATCACAACAAATTATAAATAACCCATATCCAACATTAAAATCGTCATGGAAAGCGAAAAAAAGTCGAAATAAGGACGACGATGACGAATTTATAAAATCGTTGCCTCCTCTGTCTGATGTTATTGCATATAATTTGGATGGTATAAATATTATTTATTTTTTTAATTTGGTTAAATTTATCGAAAATTAAATCAATTGAATGTTTTAATTTTCTTTCATAGTTTTATTTTGTGGAATTAACCCAGGAATAGTTAGTGCAAAAGCTGGTCATCATTTTGCTAACAAGGGCAATAGTTTTTATCCGTGTCTGGTTCAAAGCGGTATAACTAATTGGGATTGGATTTAATTAATATTGCTCTATATATATTGATCTTACGATTATCGGTTTAGGACTAACATATGGCAAAAAAGTGACTTTTGAAGATGACATTGCTTTTCCGCGTACTTTCAATTACGGAATAACAAATTTGGTAAATCGCGTGACGCGTGGTTCAAATGTAAGTTTTTTGTATGTTTATTTTATCTTTGGCTTGGTGATTTAAAAAATAACATTGATCTAAGAACAGGATTTGAATCAACAAGAACTACGACAAGGAATCCCAATTATGTTAGAAAAAGTCAAGAAATATCATCCTAAAATTTTGTGTTTTATTGGAAAATGTGTCTTTGATGTGTTCATGCAATACAATAATTTAGATCCAAATGTGAAAAAGTATGGCCTACAGTCGATCAGAATTCCTTGGTCTGGAGTTGTAACAAGTAACATTAATAATAATAATAATAATAATGAGGACTCTACACGCGTTTTTTCTATCATGTCCACTAGTGGTCGAGTTGTTATAAAACCTGAAGAGAGACTGGAATTGTTTAAAGAGTTGAGACGAATTTTAGATGAATTAAAAATCAATAAATGAGACTGATATGCTGTTGTTTCAACATCGCTATATTCTATAATTACAGTGACTTTCTTTATAGTGTACCCCCGTCATAGTGGAGACTAATTAAATTCACGTTATAAAAAGATTTACCGTGTACATCAACCAATCGATCATGGGATATCGATATGTCATAAAGCATGGTTAAAAAAAATCTGATATGTTTAGAACAACACAATCAAAAAAACGCGTTTTTTTTTGATATGGTGCATAAAATTTAAAGTCATCAAACGTTTTGTATTTTATAAAATGGATAAACTTCTTTACTAAGAAGCAAATACAAAATTTAATCCGTGAATATGCTCAGAAAAGGCCTATTCTATCTTATTCACGGATTAAATTTTGTATTTACTTCTTAGTAAAGAAGTTTATCCATTTTATAAAATACAAACGTTTGAAAACTTTAGATTTTATGCACCATACAAAAGTGTCTGGAGGACAACTTCGTATAATTTTTCAGAAGCCTACTACGAATCAAATACCTTTGCTTCCCTAGCAAAATTGCACCTATAAGTCATTCCTTTTAATAACTAAAATATCAACACTGTACCAGTCATAACTTTTAAACGATCTTCCTTCAAAAATCGCAACTATTGTCACTATTTACATATATGGCTTTTGAAGATAGTGTTTGTTTCTGGAGAACTACCGCTACAGGTCTTGCAAGACTATATTAACAGCAGTGAATTCGAATGTGATGATATCATGACAAAGATTATGCATTGCTTGATAATGATAATTTTAGTCTTACAACTGAAAGTACGAGTGAAATTTCTTCAACAACAGCAATTATCAATAACGAAGGCGATAATAATTATGAATTCTCATTTGATTCTATGAATTTCAAAATGCAAGAGCAAAAGCTAATAATAACGAAGATAATATCCAAGATGAAGTAACATGGGATGATATCGAATTAACTTATTCAACGCCAACTAATTCTAATATATACATATATAATATGGATTATCCTATAAATAATACAAATGATACGTTATGTCAAGATCTTGCTCCTTATGTGTTATTGGACATTTTTGATGGACAATTAGGGTACCTGGGAAATCGAAAAATATACTATTAACAGAAGTGAGCTCTATATTGGGAACTGTTTTTGAAAAAAAACAATAACAACAACGATAGTAATAATAATATAAATAAAATAGTATTACGTTTGGGGAAGTGAATCTGAAAAGATTAAAGGAGGAACATTCTATTCATAATTTAGTGAACAATAGATCAAAGGAAATAGGCTTTTGGATATATTATATGGAAATCACGCTCTGAAGTATGTAATAAAAAAAAGAGCTCGAGATTCCACAATCACTTGCGTAATATCGAGATGGATTTCCAACTCTTTTACGGGATTTTTTGCACAAAAAAATTATAGTCAAACCCCTCTATAATCACCACCCTCGGGGAAACAAAATCGGGTGACTAGAGAGGATATTATTATAGAGGGTTTTTTTTTACTATGTTTATATATAAATGGAAAAGCAAAATAGGGTGACTATAGAGGGATGTGATGATAAATGGATGTAACTATAGAGAAGTTTGACTGTATGAAATTGAGGGCTTGAAGCACATATACAGCATTATGAACGAAAACTTGAAAAAGTTAGAATTAATAATATTAAATCTGAGGAGCGAATACAACAAGGAGAAAATATACATATTAGACAATATTGATTTTAAAAGACAAAGTTATACACTTGGTAATATTTATGATGCAGCTCGGGCACAACACATGCAACTTTGCGTATGGTATTCCAATTTACTTTGCCTTATTCTTTTCATGCACAACTATTTCTAATCAACTTCAAAATTTCGAAAATATATTCAATATTCTTTTATATTCTGATACAATGTTCGATATAGAAGGAATTGAATTGGATGTAAAGTACCATTGTCTAATGTAATAATTCTTGAACCTGGTACAAATCCATGTAATGATGAAGCAGTACACAATGCATGTAGTATGTATTTCAGTGAAGAAATGGGAATAATGGGAATATGGGTGTGATATGTGATGGAACAATTTTTCACTGCTTGATTTCATATCAAGAAAAAAACCAGAAGACTTTTTTACTTGGTGCATGGCACACAAACAAAGAAGTGTGCATTACATTAATTACAATTTTCTCCATTGATGGTATTTTTGCTCTGGCTGCTTATCTTGGAGTTCATTATTTGGATAAGTTAGAAAAAGTAGTTGATTGCCATGTATTGGAGTTAAATTGGTATACAGTAGGAATTGTTTTGAATCATGTTATAAAAAATAAATATTCAAAAAGAAAATAATATATTGCGAGTATGGCATCTTTATTTTTGCTGGATTGGGCACAAAATTGGAATTCAGTACAGTCATTATGATATGCAATTTCAAAATTTGATCGCATTTGCACCTTTATTTGCAGCAGTAGCGGGAAAAAAACAATTATCGTATAGTCCCGGAAATAAGCACCACCTTTTGGAGCTTAATTTTGAGAGGTGGTGCTTAAACTCGGGACAATTTTTCCTGAAAATGTAATTTTAATAGAATCTCTTTAAACCACTCTACCGCCTTATCAGAGCGCGCACATATAATCGATCAGTATAAATTGATATACAGTGGCTCACTTATGAAATCGTACACCGAAAAAAAATGGCTTGATTTGAATATCTCGCCATTAAAGAATTATAAGTGACTAAAGGTAAGCGAGTTTATTCATTAAAATAATAAGTAACTATCAATATATTTTTTTTTGTTATTTTTAAAATTTAAAATAACTTTAATTTCTACTTTTTTTTAGCATTCGGTGTAATATGACCGAAAACATTTAAAGGTGAATTTCTCCTTAAGGAAGTATTAGCAGCTCTTGATGTTTCTGTTAACAAGCCATTCAAAGATAAGCTTCGAAGGAAATGACGTTTATGGATTGCAAATGAGGAGTTTACAACTAAATCAGGCAATTTGCGCAAACCTGGGTATGATAGGATGTGTGAATGGGTATTGGAAGATGAGATGAAATTCCAACATCAATGCTTATAAAATCATTTAAAATATGTGGAATTTCGAATGCTATGAATGGTATAGAAGATGATCTTTTATTTGAATCAGATTGAGAGAATAATATTGAGATTAAATGATGAATATCAAGATAATGATTAGCGTTAGATTTTAGTTATATTATCAAGTTAAACTTTAAACTGGAGGTGGTGCTTATTTCCGGGACTATACGTATTCGAGATCTGTTACACAGTTTCCTTATCATATTACTAAGGATTCAGTACTTCATCAATACTTCACCAACGTGTGTTCAGTAAATATTACGCATCCAGATGTATCAAATGGTGGTATTTTATTTGAATTTGATCCCTGGATACCAAGATATCGCGTCCAAAAGTCTGTATTTAAAGATACAACTGAAAATGGATTCTACATGTTATGATATTGGAATTAATCGTCTTCAAGAAGTCTATTTACAAGAAATTGGAAAAACTATACTACAAAAGGATGCCGTAAGAATAAATCAAAAACGAATTAAAAAAACGAAAAGAACATTTAGAATCTTTAAACACTAAAAAGCGTCGGTAACGAGCGATTTTTGCAGAATTACAACAATTTGAAGATTTGCCAAAGACAGAGATGGAAGAAGTATTTATAAAATTCTGCACTTTACCCGATACCAAGCCTGATGGATGGGATTTAAAACGAATTCGAGAACTTTGGTTAAGACATCGAAGACAAGACAAAATGATATATAAAAGAAACGTGAAACTTTATAATACACGATTGTTGATCAAATTCACTTTTCGCTCGTATTTGTCTTTCCCTTTCATTTTCATGAATTCATATACTAATATTTTGTCAATTTAGAACTGACGTGATTTTGGAAAAAGAGCCAATTACGAGCTCATCTTTATTATTTAATATAAACTCTGTGAGCGATCAGGCTATTACATTAATATGACGGTTCATATTTCGTTTAACACTCACTAAAAGTTCAAAGGGGTGGTAATTCTGACCATGTTGTGCGATTTGTAAGATTCTAGAAATCTGAACGGGAACAGTTGAAGGAGGATAGTAATTTTTAAAGGAAGATCGTTTAAAAGTTATGACCGGTACAATGCTATTATATGACCAATTAAAATGTGACGACTTAGAAAAGTAGAGGCATTTGGCCTGTAGTAGGTTGACTGTTGTCTCAACATCGCTATGTGTCTATTCTACAATTACATCAACCAATCAAACAATACTATTTATCTGCATCATCGATCTGTGTCTGTTAAAAAAAACGAAGTTTTTTATTTTTATTTTTCGTCGTTCTTTGTGAAAGTATAAAGGGTGAGTGAGTACGTGTGAACGAGTAATTGAGAGCAAATGTCTTTTTTGCCAATTATTACGAGTATTTTTATTTAGATCTTTGTTTGTTTTAATGAGCAAATTAAACGGAAGAATTTTCTGTGCTTTCTTAGATGCGCTAATACGAGTTAAAAAGAGTTTTTGTCTATTTAAAATAATTTCGAACAAAAAATGTCAGCCAATTAATATATCAAATTTATCATAAATAAACATTATCGACGACAGTAACGTCAAATAACAATTATAGTAATAATCAAAGTAATATAATAGATAATCATGAAGCACAACAACATCCTTCCGAATGCCCACTTTCACAAGGACTGGCAACTGCGTGTAAAGACATGGTTCGATCAGCCAGGACGAAAGAAACACAGAAGAATAAATCGTATCCGTAAGGCTGCTCGAATTGCGCCACGACCCATTGAACTTTTGAGACCGGCGGTTCGGTGTCCTACCATAAAGTATAACACAAAGTTACGGGCAGGACGTGGTTTCACTCTTGATGAACTTAAGGTAATAAATCAATTTTGAATAACTGGCCTGTAATTTTGTTTTATTCATTTTATTTTTTTACTGCACCATAAAAATATTATTCATAGGAAGCAGGTATCCGTCGTAAAGAAGCACTTGGTATCGGGATTCCAGTCGATCATCGTCGCAAAAACCGATCTTTCGAGTCTCTTCAACTTAATGTGGCACGTTTGAAGGCATACAAGAGCAAATTGATCATATTCCCAAGAAAAATCGGCAAACCAAAGAAAAGTGATTCCAATGTAATTACAATATTAATTTTTTTCATATATTTTTATTTGATATTTGCTTTCTTTATAATTAACAAATTCCCAATCAATTTTAGACTGCTGAACTTAAAGATGCCACTCAACTCAAAGGATTCGTCTTGCCAATTCAACAAACCTGGGTTCCAGAACAACCACGTGCAATCACTCAAGAAGAAAAAGACTTTAACGCGTATGCTACTCTTCGTAAAGCAAGATCTGATGCTCGTTATGTTGGAGTACGCGAGGCACGTGCTAAAGCAAAAGCTGAAGAGGAAGCGAACAAGAAAAAATAATTTATATAATATACTGTATCTATTTTATAAGGTTATTGTTGTATGTATGTATATCGTAACAATAGAAGAGGAGGTGGATTAGGATAGCTTGAAAAATCCTGTTATTTGCTCGATCCTATTATTGTTTTTCGCTTTTCTATTAAAATATTTATCTTTGTTGTTAAAAAGATAGATTTAGTCTACGCGAAAACATATACGCGTCTCGTAACAATGTAATATTTAATGCTTTATGATTGGCTCAGTCTATCAAATAATTCGGTATTCTCATTATTTACACTTTTGTATAATGGAACGTCTTGACGAAGAGAGCGCCGATTTAGAGTTTCTCGAAGAAAATCTAAAGAAAACTAATGTGTTGACTGAAAAAATGGTTCATATATTCTTTATTACTAATAAATTACGTATGCGCGTATTAGAGTATACATCCAGATTAACTTGTTCCCTTCTTTAACTGTATTGTGACTCTCTTTTTATTATTTGCCTTGAAAACTTATATAAAGACCAGCATGCTCAATGTATTTGATGACCGATTGGTTAGACTAGAAGCTTCAATTTTGCCAATTCATAAGGCAACTCAGACTTTAACGAGGCTAGCTGATAGTAAGCATCTCATACTTTTAACTGGCGACTTGGTGAAAGAGATTGTTGATTGATACGACGGTTCTTTTATCATTAATTAAACCAGATCGTTGTTCCTTACCTTATTTTACTATGTTGTAAATAGATATAGACCGAACGCGTAATAATGTATATGAGATCATTGGGTATTTTGATTTGGTGGAGAGAGAGGCAAAGACTATACAGAGCGGGTGAATATTTATTTTTGAGTGTTGAGCGTGTTGCGTGGGGTTGGAGGTATCATCATTTGAATTTTTGGTTGGATAAGATTCGATCGGATCTTTTTCTGAGTAAATATATAGAATTATTTAATCTTTAATTTTATAAAGGCCAAAAGAAGTTGATTTGGAGCCATACTTGAATTCTATTGGCAAGTGCAAAAAAGCTATGGAAGTTTTGAGTGAATCAAGATTAAAGAGCACCGAGAGAGTTATGGCCCAATTGGTAAAGTAAACAAAAAAATAGATTTTCGATTGCCGTATTTATACTAACAAAGATTATGCGTGAATTCTAGAAACAATTATTAAAAGCTGCGATGTTGCAACTTGAAGAGTTATTCCGTAAATGGCTTGTGAAGTGGAGCATTCCGATAGAACCACTCGCTTATACAACCAAAAGTACCGTCACTTTTTATTTCGAGTTAATAAAAAAATTACAAACAATATTTTTTATTGATATATTAATAATTTATAAAAATTCGTAGACAAAGATATACCCGGAATGCCATCAGTTCCACTACAAAATCTCGAAATATTATCTTCGTATTTGGCAACATCAGATGTGGAACTAGGCTACACAAGTGAATTTATCAAAGTATACATCGAAGTTCGATCAGGGTACCTCGTAAAGTCTCTTACTATGTTATCGCAAGCTTCTATAGCGACAGCTGAAAAGAGGAATACCCCTGTCTATGAAAAAGGCACGTGCGGGTTTATTTCTTATGTGGATGCTATGTTGAGGATGTTTGAGGTGTTTTTTGATTTTTATTGAAATATTCGTAATTCAGGTTTTTTCTTTTATACTAAAGATTTTGGTGGGTGGATTTACTAGACAGAGTATTATGAAGTAGCCACGAAAATTCTACCCAAAGATTATATCACGGAGGCATTTAGAGGTGTCATACAGAATCCGCTTGATGTTTTCGTGGATACTGGTCGACAATTAAATACTCGGATCAAAAGAAGCATGCAAACTGATGTATTTTTGGCTTTTGATATGCTCGAGGCGTTGAATAAGAATGCTGATTCGTTTGAAGATATTTTCCGGGTAATTTTCTTTCAAGTCTTTTATACATGCATAACACATAAAATACACCCTATTGATCGATAATTATCGTTGACCTATTTGTTTTAAAGTTTGCCGGGAATAAAGATACTGGATATGGAGAACTTATCCATTCTTTACGTGGTGCCGCGTTAAGATCTTTTCCAGAGTTTATTGAAGACATTAAGGTACATATACGTACATACACAGTCGTTCTTATTAATGAATATTATTTTTAAAAAAAATTATTTTATAGATACATTCCTCTAAAAATACGGCACTGCCAAATGATGGCACTGTGCACGAATTAACGATCACTGTACGATGATTCCAAAAAGCTATTGTTATTGTCGGTTTATGAAAAGGCGATTGTATATTAATTATTTATTTATGCAAAAAAGACCTTACAACATATGAAGCGAATGACCGATTACCAAGAAACGGTCGAGACAATACTTCAGACATTAGGCGATGGCAATTGGAACTCATCCGAAAAAGAGCCAATTTCTCGAGATCGATCTGGCCGAGGGGCGTTAATGGGAAATGCTATCGTGCGGCATTATTTTGGTATTTGAGAATTCGATTTAATTTTCTCGTAAATAGTGTATTTCAAGAGAATTTTTGATCTGAATTATTTTTACTTTTGTTATAAAAATTAAAAAAAAGCCGATTGCTTGGAGACACTATCCAACAATCTCGATAGTAAAGCCAGAACATACAAAAAACCCGCATTAACATACATATTCTTGCTCAATAACTACCATTATATCTTGAAAACGATCAAATCGCAATTTGTGTTGTTGGTTGACAAGGAGATTGAGAGTAAATATGAGAAGTTGGTAAAGAAGTATAATGATGCTTATCAGGACACGTATGTGTTGTTAAATTCTATTCTTTCCTGTTACCTTTTTTTGGGGGATTTTTCTTAATTTAATCTTTTGGAATATGAATGAAATTAAGATGGAAACCTTGTATCAATCATCTTATGGATTATACGTATGTGCGTGGCGGGACATTGAAGACTACGTTGGGTAGTACTGATAAACAATCTGTGAAGGAAAGATTCAAGGTAACAATAATGATAATAATAGAAATGTCAAAAAAGAAATTATACTAATATGATGGCTTTGGTGGTTAGAATTTCAATAATGAGTTTGATGAGCTATACAAGGTGCACAAAGGCTACGCCATACCAGACATTGATTTGCGAAATCAAGTAATTAAAGATATTAAAGTTGTCTTGATTCCTATGTACAACCGATTTCTTGACAGGTACAAACCAAACTTCTGTTTCTTGTTAATTCATCATCCATTGATCAATCAATTAATAATTTTATCGTTCCTTAAAGATATCAGCAATCGGAATTTTCGAAAAATCCAACAAAATATATCCGATACGATTCTTCACAACTTGAAGTAATGGTTGGTCGACTGTTTGATGGATCGTCGTAATTTATTTAACTTGTCAATATTTTTTGGTTTATTATTAGTAGAGTAATTAGATTAATATCGATTATCACGAATAGATTAGAGAAAAAGATATTTAATAACCGGATAGAAAAAGAATTTTCATCAACCAAAGTCTGTGAGAATTAGAATTTTCCCAGTTCCAACTATTATGAAACATAGGAAATTTGACCTCCATACCGTAAGAATCATCTCCAAATGTTTTGTCAGGGTGCTCGATATTTTTTTAGGATATAATGTTGATATACATCTTTAATTATAAATAATCTCGAATTGCAAGATTGCGTTTTCGAGAATTTAATACGCACAAAAATGCAAAAACTCGAACATACTTTACAATAATCGTCATAAATTACAAATATTGATTTTGAATGACAATGCCGCAAAAAGATAAATAACTAAACGACGAATTCCATAGACCGAGTGTTCTTTTGGATTCATTAAACTCCATTCATTAGATGACAACTGTGATTAACTAATTTATTTTCCGGACCACCGAGAACTCGGATTCACCGGACTTCGTTCCTCATTGACCAATTTTCCCACAAAATCATACTTTCCTTCAAAATGTGCATGCCACTCCCGGAGACTTTCGAGTTCTTCACGCGTTAAATCTTCCAGTGTGTCGAGTGGTTGGTCGACAGGCGTAAGCATTTCCAGATCAAATGAGTTTTTTGCTAACCCGCGTGATGCATCACGACCTGCAAAGTTTCCGTATGGCCCGTCTTTATAATGTATTAGATTAATGCAACAATCATACAATAATAAATAACGACCAAAGAGACAAAAGAACTAACCAGGTCCATAGAAATTACGTCCTTTTGTCACATCATAAACTTTACCGCGCACTCCCATGTAAATCTTTGTCTGTAAGGATCTCCCATCGAATTCCCGTAGCTGTTTCGGCGTGTACTCTCGAAACACGGTGACTTCTGGGTGTTTGGAAATTGGAAGGTGGTAAGGTACCGGTGTAAAGTACGTGCGAACAACATACAATAGAAATGCGGAAAGAAACCAGTTCAGTGGGTTGGTTAGTAGTTGCGTTTGAAGAGTTTCCAAAACTGTCATTTTTTACTAGTTCGAATGATTTTTCACACTGATCATCATACTATATATTTTTGGGATTTGCGTGAGTGTCACATGCAAGAAATACTCTAGCCATGTCGTTGGATCATGTGATTCCAATACTATTTAATATGTTTTCTTAATTATAATGTATAATATTAAATAGAGTTTTAATTAGAGTTAGAATAGAATTAAAATTATAGTCAAATTTCTTTATAGTCGCATCCATTTATAATTACAGTGGAATTTTTTCTCTTTATATAAAAGTTTCAATTTTACTAATAAATATTTTTTAATTTTACATTAAAATGAAGACAATATCACATATTTTAACATATATTTTT